CCCAAGACCTCTCTTTATCCTTTGAAGAGCCAGGACTAGAACACCAGACAGCCAGGAAGGGGGCTGAGACTTCACTCACTCACTCTCAGTTATTCTTTCACCGGATGAATGATACCACAAGCAAGCCCTGTGCCTGCTGCCTGGCCACACACTGTTGAAAAACTCAGACTCGGTTCCTACCCCTGTGGGACTTGGGAAGTAGTGAGAGTGCACGTTGGAAGCTGGGAAACTAGGAGACGCACTGTGGGAGGGTGGGAAGAGGAAGTGATGGGCAAGGACAGCTGGGGCCGGCACTAAGGGGGACACATCCCAATTCAAGAACATCCAGGAGGAGGAGGAGGAGTAAGCTGACGGGGCTCTGGGAAGACCCACAGGCTCTGGAGCAGGAAGGGCCGGCAACAGGAATGGATGGGCGGGCAAGGGGAATAGAACAGAGACATGCACTCCCTGGAGAATAGGAAAGGGAAGGCCAGGAGGAAAAGCATTGTGAAGGGGCTGTTTCTGCAGGCATGCAGCTTAAAATAGTACCCTCTGCTTTGCTGGATCCACAAGCCCCATCTCATCCCTTCCGGGTAGCAAATTCTCCCCTTGGCGAGTAGCTAGAGAAGTAGCTTCAGGCCTTGGGCCCAGCAAACCCTCCCTAGCTCCCTAGCTGAGAGAGCAGCCCAGCTGACGGGGAACAGTCATGTGGGAATGGGAGCTGGGGGTGAGTTCCTAGAGTAGGGACCCAGAGTGTTCATCCTGCCAGACCACTGCATTCCCAGAACTGGAGCAGGGTGGGCAGACACAGAGCGTGATGACTGTGTACCATACCAGGCTTTTCTTTTTTAAGGCAGACCAGCTCCTCCCAAATGTACCATTTTCCTCACAGCCATGCTGCATATCAAATAAGAACTAAAACTGTTATCCGGCTACAGGGTGACTAGAGTTTCCTTATCTGTTACAGAGAAGATGAAGTTGTTTTTCAGACTAGACGCACTAGTGCACATGGAGGTGCTTGCCAAGCTACAAAGGACTCTTAATCAGCACTCTTGGCTGTAGGCAAGAAACAGCTCTGGGTAACTTATGCAGAAAGGGGATGTATAAAGGCTCTCAGGGGTTCACAGAACTATCAAAATGACGAAGTAATGGTGGCAGGAAATGTGCACAGGAATCACTGAAGCTCTACAAAATCAAAAAGCAGAAAACAATGCCATCTTTCATCAGGAACAGTCTGGCTGCCCCTGGAATACTCACTCCCACTCCCACTGCCTTCACAAATCACTCTAGAGCAAGTGACACAAATATAAAGGGAATGAGAATTCAAGTCCTCATGGGAGTGTACACTGACCAAATCTATATCATAGGCCAGCTGTCAGAGGAAGGAGAGAGCATACGTGGCCCTTCTGACTTCCATCTGTACTCTTGTGATGAGTATCTCCCCCAGACTGGAAAAGGGACTGAAAACTAGGTGGCCAAAAGGAAAAAAGGAAGATGTCAACTCTAGGCCCTGTAAATATTAGATCTTATTATATATGGTTTTCTACTTACATAGTCAAGGTGGTATGATGGTAAAAACACTCTGCCCTAGAGCAACAAAGACTTCTGCCAAATGCCTGCACATTAGAGTGCTGGAGAATGAAGGAGCGGCTTGGGCAGGCTCAGACTCTCCATCCAAAGGGGTCTCTGAGGACAGAAGAGAAAGACTGGACCTGGAATCAAGCCTTTCTCAGAAACTTAGTCTCAAACTCAGTTATGGAAAATTCCTTTTCCCTGAATTTCCTCATCTCTATAATAAGAATAAATCTGTCCGCCTACCTCAGGGATATGCTGGCGGAATAAACATTATGTCTTTGGGGCCACAAAACCCTCAGAGTATGTGGAACTATGAAGACCAGAGGTTATCTTTGGGTTCATACACCACCACTCTCAGAGAGAATGAGTTGGTGTGCCTTGGTTAACTGTATCAGTAAAATGGATATTTTTACGAGTATCTACCTCATAGTATCCTTATGAAAATTGAGTTAATATATAGAAAGTGACTGGTACCATACCTGGCATAGAATAAGTATTCAGTAAGGAAATCAACTCTGAATATTCACTGGAAGGACTGATGCTGAAGCTTCAATACTTTGGCTACCTGATGCAAAGAGCTGACTCACTGCAAAAAAAAACCTGATGCTGGGAAAGACTGAGGGTAAGAGGAGGAGGAAGCAACAGAGGGTGAGATGGTTGGATAGTATCATCGACTCAACGGACATGAGTCTGCGCAAACTCCAGGAGAGAGTGAAGGACAGGGAAGCCTAGTGTACTGCAGTCCATGGGGTCGCAAAGAATCAGACATGACTTAGCAACTAAACAGCAAGAAACGGTAGTCACCAAAATAACTAAAGCTTTATAGGTATTACTGTTATCCAGTGTTCGGATAGGCATTATATGAGGAGCTGAAGAGAAAGTAGTTCAACAGGCCTGCCTAAGACAAACGAAAAAGTATGAGTATTGGGCCTAGTATAAGAATAGTAGTAGTAATAATGTTAGTCATCACTCAATTGTGTTCAACTCTTTGCAACCCCACAGACTGTAGCCCACCAGGTTCCTTTGACCATGGGATTTCCCAGGCAAGAATACTGGAGTGGGTTGCCATTTCCTTCTCCACAGGATCTTCCTGACCCAAAAGTTGAACCTGGGTCTCCTGCATTGCAGGCAAATTCTTTACCATCTGAGCTATAGGGAAGTCCTTTAGTATCAGAATAGTAGACGTCATTTCTCAAAGATGCAAATGATCAGAGATGTAGAAAAGCCATTTACAGTATAGTTACTGTAACTAGTAACTGTAGTTACTATAGTAACTGCAAAGTGCCCCGTAGACATAAAATTGAATCTGAGAGTGCAACTGATATTCCCAATTGATGAAGCAGAGTGGAGGAGGTCTCAATCTATCATCCAGGGCAAATAAATGCTTATGGGAGTTCCTTCTGCCTCAAAATCAAAACAGCCCCTCCTACTCACCTTCCACTGGCTCCGTGTTAGTGACGATTCCTTCAGGACATCCGTTCCCAAACCTGCCTTCACGGCAGCCGTGAGCCCCATGGCTCCAGGTTCTGGTCCCTTGGTACTTGGTGTCACGGTTAATTATCACCCTCTTTAGCAGAGTCATGCATAGTGACACATTGTGTCTCTCCACGAAAAACATGAAGCCCCTGAGGGCAGGAACAGCCTCTGCGACATCTGTTTGTCCCCAGGACTTAGCAGTGTCTTTTTCCCAACAAAAGTGTGTTGGGTTCCACCGAATGGTTCCCAGGTAAGAGTCCAAGTGCCAAAAGAAGCCAAAACAAGCTGCCTCAAAGGACTGTCAGAAATCTAGTAAACTTCCAGCTCACACTTGATAAGCACCTGGAAAATAGTATTCAGTGAAAACCTCAGGAGTTGCAGAGACAGTGAGGAGGGTGTCTTACCTGGTGGTGTGACCCAAACCTTTACTCCTGAGGGGTCTGAACACTTGATAATCAAACGCTCAGGCTGGGTGGCTGCACATGTCTATTCACAGTTAAATCAGGGCAAGTTGAGGTGCCCACCTGAACCCAAGTCTCACACACATTCCTCCTCGCTCCCCTTGTGTGAAAGCAGCCTTCCTCCTCCTGATGACCAGGGTCTGTCAGGCCTGCCGGCACGGCAACTCCTCTCTCCTGTTGCTCCCTGGACACAGAAATTTCCAAGTGTCCTGTCAGTAGCTTTACCATATAGATCACTGGGACGTTTATGGTGCCCCTGGCAAGAGCCTGTTCTCTTTGGGGACCAGAAACTACAATTATTTAGAGCCGAGTTGCAGGGGAAAGCAGCACAAAACCACAGTGGGTCCTTTGGAATGACAGTAACCAAGCCCATCCCTGCTTCCACCTCTTGGTTTCCAGACCCTTGATTTCTTCCTATTGAGGACACAGCACCACACGGAGGTCTCCGATTTAATACACTAAAGAACGGCACTCCATCCTCTCAGAGTGCTTTCTCAGAGCTGGCACTTCAGTTGAGAAGGCCCTCTCCCAAAATCCACAGGGCCAGTTTCCTCTGGGTGGTGCGGTACATGACACAACCAGAGGGCCCCTGGTTCCATTCCAGCTGCATCCAAGGTACAGCCCTTGCTGGAATGCTCTGCTCTATGGCATTCCGTTCCTGTGGACCAGACATTTGGTAAGCCTCCAGACAGAAGGGCTGGTTGAGGATCTGTAGGCAGGATAAAGACAATATTCACTGACAGTTTGCCTCAGGGTTATGCTAACTCTCCCACCTTTCATACTATAGACTGAGAACTCTGGAGTGCTGACATCCAAGAGAATATCACACTGATCCATTACACCAATGACCTCCCTGTCGGGCCAGGACAAGGGGAGGAAGCTAGAATGCTCCAGGTCTTAGTAAGATATTAGTGCTTCAGATGGGAAATAAACCTATGGACAGACAGGAACAGACCATTTCAGTGATGTTTTTAGAAGTCTAGTGGTCAAGGGTATTCTGGGAAAGCCCCTTTTAAAGCAGAAGACAAATCACTGCATCTGACAGACATGTCTCAAAGAAGGAAGTACACTGCCTCTTTGCATTCCCCAGGGATATTACAGATACTGAGTGACACAGAGGCTGCCAGTATTGAGTGGGGTTGGAGCAGTTAACGGTGCTGCAACAAGTCCAGTGGGCCCAGTGCAAGTAGGCCTGTTAGCTGACCCTCATGGTGTTGGAGGGGTCACTGGTGGGAGAAGATAGGGTAACCACTGCATGAATCTGTAGATGTGGGCCCACTCTTAAGCTGGACTTTATACAGGACCTTATTTCTCACTGAGTCCTCAAAGGCCCCCCAATCCAACAGGATGGCCAGGATGCACCTTTTGGGTCTGTAGGTACTGGCATCAACTCCAAACCTTTGTCCAATAGTACGAGTGTACAGTCATGTAACTAAATGGCCATGAGTAGATTCTTTTGAGGAAAGTCTGGAAGAACTGCCACAATATATACTTGTAATTGTGTTGCAGGGCCCCTCCTCCTGCTACTTCCACAGTCAATGGGTTTCAGATCTGAAAACTGACTCAAGTCTGGGAACTGAGCATGAGATCATGATTTTTTATTAAAGTGACTGCTCTCAGCCTCTTAATCCAATTTTAGTTTTGGGTTTTTTCTTAATAGGTAAAAAGATTAGCAAATACAGCTCCACTGGCTAAATCCAGACAACCACTTGTTCTTGTAAATAAAGTTTTATTGAAAGGCAGCTTTACAATTGTTTACATATTAAGGCTGCTTTTGTGCTACAACAGCTGAGTTGAGCAGCTGTGACAGAGCAGGTGACCTGCAAAGCCTAAAAAATATTACCTGGGCCTTTAAAGTTTGCTCGTCCCGTTAAGAGACGCTAAGCAGCATCCTTGTCAACCATGCTGCCTCTAGGTGCAAATCTACACTGCACCCCATTAACCTTCTCCACAATCCTCTGCAGATAAAGCCCACTGACTGCCCTCCGACCTTACCTTTTGAAGAGTGAGGTAATTATGGCCTCCTGGCTTCTGGCAGGTAAGTGCCACCTCCTGGCCTACATCACTCCTACAGATGCTAACAAGCCCAGTTTGTAAGCATTTCTCCTTCCATCATCCCCAGCTTGCACAACTTCTTAGTGATGCTGCTGTCCCTCTCATCAGTGCATTTCAGTGGTTTGGGGACTGGTATATCCTCTTGTGGGATGCGTTCTCTAGTCAGTCTTTTGGCTTACGTAAGTAGAGCCCTTCCGGCATGTCCACTTTCCTCAACCACTTTATTCATTCCTGGACTGTCTTCCGGAGTGAAGGAGAGAAAGTTGGGGAAGCATCCTAAACTACTGAGCTTCATCCAAGCCAATGTGGAGTCCCTGAGCCAAAGCTGACATCAGAGATGCCCCATGTCTCCCAGGAGTGGACATTGGCTGGAAGCAGCCTGTAGGAAACATGCCTCAGTACAAATGTAGGTGGGCCTTAGAACACTGTGGCTGGAGCCCGTGGTCAGCTATGGTCCCTCCAGCTAGAGGTGTGTGAGATGTAGTCTCATGGTCACGACAGGGGCCCAGAATGGTTATGGTGCGTGTGACAAAACCCACTTTAAATGCCAGTCTGCATCTTAGTAAGAGGTCTGACTTCTAAGGGGGCACAAGCTGTCAATCAGAATGACATCTCTCTCAGGAGAGGAGAGTGATCAACAGAGTAAGGCTCCAGGACAGACTGCAAAGGCAGGGTGACTCACATGTGTGTCTCCTCCTCTCCCCTCACCATTATTCTTGCAATCCAGACAGAAAAGGATCCTCTGCCTTCATTCAGAAGTGATCTCGTCCCAGCTCCCTCATTGTGCAAGGTAACAGACCTTAGGATTCTTCTGAGCCCAGGCTGAGTAGTTAAAGGCTACAAACATCTCATTCGAGATGAATGCTTTTCCCTGATGCTGCCACTGCACCAAGCAGATGTACTGATACCATCATAAAGTGGAAACAACAGCCCGAAAGACTGCGTTCACTGACTGCCATGGGATACAAGGTGTCTCATGATGTGAACGCTGGAAGAGCCAGGGATCACCTCCTATCTGCATGTTTACCCCTGACAGGAAATGAACTGCTTGGAAGCCTCCAGTGAGAGAACCTGGCTTCTCATCCTGTGTTCTTTCCCCAAAGACATAAAGATGCACAAAGAAATGAAACTGGGCAATAGGTTGAAGACCCAGCAATGCAGGCCCAGCAAGGCAACATCCATGATCGCTTTCCCAAGGTGGTGGTGGTAGTGAAATGTTCAAAAACAGCTGCAATGGGAACGCCCCAGCCCTTCTGGAGTCGCTCACTCCTCCCAGCAGCTCTGCCTTTCTTCTGTTGACTCCGGCAGCACCAGCATCTGAAAGGAAGGTTCCTGAGCCACATCTCAGCCCGGTCCAGTCTCACTGTTGCTTGCTTCTATTGAGTAAATGTGGAGCTTTACAGTCAGTGTAGAATTAAAGCAGCCTTCCAGGAAAACCAAAGAAGAGTTCTGTGCATTCTTCCCACTAGGCTCTCTCCTCACAAGGAAACCCGTGCCTCCTCCATTTCTTCCAATATTATCACACTGGATTAAGCAAATTAGCAGATGAAATGGTGGGTCCACATGATTCCCTATTGTGGGAATAGTTTTATCAGAAGGTTTAAAGTAAAACTCCTAAGCCTATTTCTCTCTCTGTTCCTAGGGTCTCTGGCCCAGGAAAACTCCCCAGCAATGTGGTAGCTTTGGCTTTTTCCCAGAATCAAATCTAACTCCAACAACTGTGGTTGTGTGATCTGAGCACTCCCTCAGATTCGGTGTGTCTCAGCTATCCTCAACTGCAAAATGTCCTCATTGATAAAATGCTGGTAAGCATATGGTGCTGAAGGTTGCTATTACAAGATGACGTGTATAAAGCACCTGGCATGTGACAGATGCTCAACAGATCTGGAGCTCTGAACTTCAGGCTTGGAAATGAGCTGGAAGCAAATGTGGGATTATGGATCTAGTCAGAGATGAGAATTCTCTAAGAAATTGGACAAAACAAGAAAAAAATGCTAGCAAGCAATGAGAACAAGTGTGGGCTAGTGGCAGGACTCACCTGGGTGCTGGTCAGTGTTGCCTTCTGCCTTGAATGCCTGGATTAGCAGGCATGAAAACACATAATCTCCTAAATAGCATCCTTATTATTAAATTAGATCATGCATGTGTGTGCTCAGTCATGTCCAACTCTTTGCAACCCCGTGGACTGTAGCCCGTCAGGTTCCTCTATCCATGGAATTTTCCAGGCAAGAATACTGGAGTGGGTTGCCATTTCCTTCTCCAGGGAGTCTTCCTGATCCAGGGATTGAACCCAAGTCTCTTGCATCTCCTGCATTGGCAGGTGGATTCTTTACCACTGCGCCACCTGGGAAGCCAGAGTTCCTTATTAAACTAGACAATGTATATTAAAACATTTTGAAAAATATAATATGCTATAGCAACCCAGGAGACAATGACAATGTTAGATGCTTAAAGTTGTAATAAAGAGAGAACTGTTAAGGTTGTCTCATAAATAAGGGAAGTAGGGAATAGAAGGGTGGTACTGTAAAATATCTGTGGAAAATAGCAATTTTAGCCCAGTAATCAAAGCCCAAAGGAAGCTAAGAAAAACCGAGAACCCAGGTCGCACAAAGCCTTTACAGGAAAATAGCTCTCAGGATCCAAGACATTTCGAGGGGCCTAGGACCTTGTCCCATTTCAGAAGCAGAAATTCATGGATCCCTACTCCTCCCCCTAACCCCATAACACTCAGCTGTTCTGTTTCCATATGTCTTCTCATTTCTCCTTCAAGTACTGTAAGTGAGTACTCTTTATCTACATATTCCCAAGACAGTAACTGACTAAGCCAAAGAGATTATCTATGTCCCCATCTAAGCAGAGTTTTTACTGCCAGACTAATTTTTCCACTACTGAGCCCATGGGTTGGTTGCCCTTGGGCCAGGTGCTCACCCCAGATCCTATCAACAAAGGACCAAGGGGAAGAGTCAAGTGAATCAAAGCACAGAACTCCTGGGACCTTTGCCCACAACCAGATCTATTTTTGGCCTAGAATGCTTTTCTTAGAACAGGATTCCAAGAATGGTGGATTATGACAGATTATATGATTGGAGAAGGAAAAAAAAAAAGAAAGAAACTTCAAGCCTAACATCAAGCTAAAAGATTCAAAAAGTTAGAAAAATGTAATTTTAAACCTTATCAAATATTTCATAGATCAATTTCAAACATCTCACTGCTTAAACAAAAGTTCAGATCATACAGAAAATCTTGACTTACAAAAAAACTATAGTTGAAAATGCTTAGGACAAACTTCATCAAACTAGTTGAGACAATACAGAATTCGTAGACTAGGGGAGCAGAGTACCACAAGATGGCAGCATCGTCCCTTCTGTGTTTCATCAGGTTTTAAGTCTAAGGTGTGTTCATCTCTTGAGTCTTTTCTAAGAAAACTATTCACCTCTTCCTTGAAGCCATTTTTAAGAACACTGAACAGAGCCCTAGTTAATACAGAAGGAATAAAGCTACAATAGATGTGGCATCTATTCTTCTACAGTCCAGTACACACATTATCTCTGAGCTCATTTTATTCCAAGATCTTGGGACTGCCTACCTTTTTAAATTTAATTGAGTATGTAATCAGGAATAGAATGGCTTGGATTATCCAAGGATTACCAGCTCCTAAGCCATGTTACAATTTCAGGAACTTAATCTTTTTAATATTCCCTATTTGGCATTTACATAATACAGGTTTTTATTATAGCCATTTTAAATATCTGTTTATCTCTATTAGATTCAATTCAGTCTCAACCGTGATGTCTAATTTTACGTGGTAACTTGGCTCACTCATGTCTGACTCTTTGCAACCCCATAGATTGTAGCCTACCAGGCTCCTCTATCCATGGGATTTTCCAGGAAAGGGTACTAGAGTGGGTTGCCATTTCCTTCTCCAGGGGATCTTCCCAACCCAGGGATCGAACCCGGGTCTCTCACATTGCAGGCAGATGCTTTACCATCTGAGGCACCAGGAAAGCCCTGGTAACTTGGCTAGACCATGTTATATAGTTATTTGGACAAATACCAGTCTAGATATTGCTGTGAAGGTATTTTCTAGATGAAACTAAAATATAAATCAGCAGATTTTAAGATTTTATTTTTACTCCCTTGTACCTAGTTCAATATGCCTTTTGACTCTCCTTTTCAAAGTCCTAATAAAAGTCAAACCTGGAATGGGTGAGCAGCACCTATGCACACTTACCCAGATTTGAGCCTTGCAGACCTCCTGAAGCACTTTGGGAATATGCATGATCTACACCAGAATGAACAGCTAGCTACAACCTTTTCTTCAGTTTAAGATGAAGGGACAGGAGGGGGCGATGTTAACCTAAAACAAGTGAATATTATTATTCTTCTTCACATGCCTATAAGCCTCCCTTATTTCAGGGAACACAAAGTATACATCACTGTTCCCCCATATTTCAGTCTCAGCCTTTCTTTTCCTCTTACTCGACTGCCATACTCAACCACTCCAAACTTTACTTCTCTTCTCTGACTGCCCTGCCTTCACACTGTATTTCTTTGGAACTTTTGCTTTAAGTGCTTTTTAAACTGGTCATTAGAACCGTCTCCCTTGACTACTCCCTTAAATTCTTAGTGGCTCTGAAAACAAACCTACTGAATAGTTTCACTCAAATGTTGACCTGAAGACTAGATGGGACCTGGCCTCATACATGCTAGCAGAGCTAAACTAGAACAAATCTTGAATGTCTGAGTCACCTGTACAAGCATGATTTCTGAACAAATATATAAAACAGGAACCATCTTCCTTCAAAAGGAAAGCCTAGAGACTAACTTTTAAAAATACGTGCACAGTGAGGTCTGGATGTTAATGATAAAAAATCACTGCTTTAGAGGAAACTATATATGTATGTGTGTGTGTGTGTGTGTGTGTGTGTGTGTGTGTGTGTGTGTGTGTATAATTTATTTATAAAAGAATCTAATGAAATCTGTAGACTCAATCCTGAGAAACTCTTATATACAAATCTCTTTGAGAAATTTATAAGCGTTCATGTCTCTTTCAAAAGCCATTCACAGAAGTCCCTCCTCCAGAGACCCAAGGACCACCAGCTTAAAAAAATGAAAAACTTGACCTAAAATATTCTATTATAGTTGGAGTTTCCATAGGCTATGTATGGTCCTCATGAAGCACTTTTTACCAAACCACTGAAAGTATAACTATTATTCTCAATAGTGAAGAATTTTATAAAGTTGAGTTATTCAGCTAGAATCTTTTCATAACACTTGCCATCACCTTTTCGAAAAGGAACTCATGAGCAGACCAGTCATTCCGTGACACAGCTACAGAGAACACTAAGAGGCAGATGACAGGAGAGGAAAGCAAAGGAACAGAACGTCCGAATAAAGTGCATAAAGGAAAGTGTGAAGTGCTGTGTGCACACCAGTGCTTGACAGATGATACTGGATAATTCACAGACCTTTTTTTTCTTTATTAAATGTGTAAAAACGAATTCTCATTTTTACAAGCTCAAAATCAGACAAGTATATGAGGGTATATAATTGGCATGTATAAACTGTACCCACCAAAAAGCTCACTGCGGACACAATCCATACTACATTCAACGTCTGCATATTTACATGATATTTCCTGCAAGGTAAATACAAAATTAATTCCCATCACTTTAGTACGTATGTGATATACATACTGAAACATACACAAACATAATCAAAACAAAGGCAGTTTTTTTCAAACAAAATACCAAAGTCAATTTTTTTCAACTCAAGTACCAATTCATTATTTTGTACAAAAAACAGCAACACTAATTTAAGGGTTCTGCTCAGTTTTAGTCAGCAAGATATGTGTGTATGCTACTGAAATACAGCTAAAGTTTTAGATTTTAATTACCAAGGTTAACAGTACTTCTGTTTTACAAATGACCTAAAAATAGTGGTGTGTGCTCAGTCGCTCAGTAGTGTCAGACTCTTTAAAACCCCATGGACTGGGACTCACCAGGCTCCTCTGTCCATGGAATTTTCCAAGCAAAAATACCAGAGTGAGTTGCCATTTCCTTTTCCAGGGAATCTTCCCAAACCAGGGATCAAACCCGAGTCTCTTACAAAAGTCTCCTGCACTGGCAAGCAGATTCTTTACTGCTGCATCACCTGGGAAGCCTCAAAAATGGTGGATGCCAATACGTATTCTCCACATTTTAAGAAATCTTCAAAATGTAAATACATTTCTAAAAATACATGTACCTTGCCATTCATTCAATAAACATGATCTGTTTTAAAATAGATCACAAAAATTCAATTTACCAGAATTCTAAACCTATTTCCTGACTATTTATTTCAGTCTTAAATCTGACTTTGTATCAAAAGCAGTAGTTTAAGAATTTATGCATAAGATTAATCCCAAGAGTTACTGGGTAGCTTTCACATTATTTTATTCCTTATAAATCTAAATCACTACAAAGTCTCAACCAGTGATTTGAATCAGTCCTTGAATCAGACTTATATCTAGGAGGGTCCTTAAAATGTGCATGGGCCCTATCTAAGAACTAATGAGTAAAAATCTTTCAGAAACATTTTTTAGTTTCCAGGTGATAATATGCAGCCTAGAGTGGAAGACTCTGACTTGGATCACCAGACCAGTGGTTCTCAACTTATAAAGTACATCTGAGTCACTTGACAAAACTTTTTTAAAAAAACAGGAAAAAAGAAAAGAAAAACAGATTTGCTTCAGTAGTTTGAGAGTGGTGTCCAAGAACCAGCATTTCAAATGATCTTTGCAGTTGGACCACAAACCACTCTTAAGAAACAATGCACAGATTTTGTCAGGTTGTGAATGAGTACATTCAGCAGTTTAGGTGACGCTGTCCTGCCAGTACTCATGATCCTGCCACCCCTCGTGATCCTGCCACCCCAGTAGTATTAACTAGTGTTTTGAGGGTAACACACAGCCTTTAAAAATAAAATATATTTCTACTCTTACACATAAGGTCAAAGTCAAGTGAACTGTGAGATCATAATTCACTCACTAAAGGAAAAAGCTCAAACAAATTTTAAAAATCTTTAAACAGACTTGTTCTTAGCACTCAACATAAATCTAAATGCCTTCCCCAGCCTGGGATGTGATCAGAGGTAGTGCTTCCAGCTCACCAAATGTAATGTAGTTTATGAGAGACAAACATTCTAACCATAATCTGTAACCTAACCTACTCTGTACAGCCTCTGTGTAACAGACTGGACATCAGGCTGGATATTAAATAATATTAAAACAGTGAATAATACACTCTCAATTTAAAATAATGAAACTTCATAATATTTCCCTCACATGATAAATTTTTACATTTAATACTGGGCGGGGGGGGGGCGGGAATCTAGAAAACACTAAGGGAATCATGCTGCCACCTTTGTGAAGAAGCTGTTTACTAGTTTTCTACCATTTTTGTCATTATCTGTAAAATGGATAGTTGCCATGTATAACTCTACTTCAAGAATTTTTTTTAAAAGCACAGAAAAGTAACCACACATAAGGCCACACAGCAAATCAGAGGCTAGCTGGAAATAGCAACACTTTCCACTTGGGAAGTCAAGTTCATTATCTTATCAACTTCACAACTGTATCTCACAGAGTGTGATGACTAAAAATTATGAATATTTAAGTGCATTTGTGTGCAAGCTACACCACCCTCACCCAACTTTAGGAATAGATATAATCTACTTTGAACCTAAGAACTGCATAAGAACTAAACAGCAACAACAAAGCTAGGAAGCAGCTAAAAGTCTATGGTCAGTGGAACCTCTTGTTCACCCATCCTATGTCTAAGATGCTAATATTTCCCGTGTACATACTTCTCTATCACATTCTTCACAAAGGCTTATACCACCTCTTTTCCAGTGGCATATGTGATTAAACAGTTGGCATTTCTTAACCAAACAATGAAAAGGCAACTGCCAAAACCTAGTATTGTATTGTCAGAAAGGCAAATCATTTCATAAAATAAGAAACTGAAACTTTCAAATCCACAGTTTTTAAGAAGCTAAACAATGCATAATAAATTTTAACCACTTAAAGAGTCTAGCCTATTAAAACAATCAAACTATTTTTCAGTTTATAAATGACCTAAGGCCAAAATAATGAATTTAAAAATTAAGCAAAACAAAGTTGAAAAATTATACAAATATCCAAACCAGGTGACAATGTCTTCTACTTAGAAAAAAAGCTTCTTGTATGGCTGAAATGAAGAGACATAGACAGCACTCCTGGAAAAGGATTTCAAAACAGAACATAGTGGTATAAGGCACTACCTTAACATTAAGTCTACACCAGATCATCTTAAATCCAGAACATGAACAGGAAAAGGAAGGATACAAACATCTGACTGCTCACGTCCTTTTAGCTGGTTTGGCAGTTAACTGCTTTTCTCTTTCAAATTCCTTCTCTCGTTGCTGCTCCCTTTCCAACTCTTCTTTTTGTCTCTTCTGCTGCAGTTTAAGTGCTCTTTTCTAAGTCAAAAAAAAAATTAAAAGCCAAGAGAACAAAAAGCTTATAGGTTATGGCCTAGTTTAAAAGCAGTAGTGCTAGTGGTCATGGGGAGAGGCAACTGGGAGATACAAACTACTGGGTGTAAGACAGGCTCAAAGATGTGCTGTACAACAGGGGGAATGTAGCCAATATTTAGTAATAACTATAATGGAAAATAACCTTTACAAATTAAAAAAATAATTTAAGTAATGGTGCTTTTATATAGTAATAAATTTCATATTTAACTTTTAAATTTGTCCTGGGCAATATTTTTATTGACGAATAGTTGCTGTACAATATACGTTCTAGGTATACAATATAGTTATTCACAATTTTTAATGTTCTGGGTAATTTAAAGTCTCCTTAATACAAAAAGTTTGTTACTCAAAACTCCTATTAAATGTCAATTACAGTGACATATTCAGAGACTGTGAGCCCACTAGCCCAGCTATTAGTAGAAAAGCCCAGTGGAGTTCATAAGAATGTGTATTAAAAGAAACTAATGTACCATGAATTAAGTATGTGATTGTATATGAATATATAAAAAGTCAGAAAATGAATTCTGAAGAAAAAGAGACAATCCTCTACTTCTGTAAAGATCGTAAAAGAATTTTCAACTCACTTTCAACTTTGATGTCTTTTCATGAAGCATCAACATCTCTTTTCTTATATTCACCAACTTGGCATGATAGTGTTTAGCTTCAGTGAACTTAAGATGGAAAAGTAAAATGAAAAGTCAGCTTAGACTGAAATATGAAAATGGATAAATAAACCAATATCTAAGTGATAGTTCATTCTTCCTAAATTAGTCAAAACTTTTGAAGCTTTAATTAACTCCACATTTTAATTCCAAAAGTTGAAATTTAATTTAAACCACTAGTAGGGATTTTGAGAATACTGGATTCAGCTCAGATTGATTAAAAAAGTTACTAAACATGACATTTATATTCTGTACAAATAACATTTTGCCTTAAAAACATGCAGTATAATCCTGAAATTTTAGTAAAACTATCCAACAATGGTACCAGTTTCATTCAAGAAAAGTAAAACATTCTGTACTGCCTCTACAAGGGAAAGGCCGAGCAGGGTACACAGGACAGTTGAGTCTGCCCATCTGGAAAAACCAAGCTATGGCCAGGGAGCCCTGCGAAGGCTGTGGACAAGTTTGGTCACGTTCTTTGGGCTTCTGAAGTCAGACCAAGGAGAACAATCTCTGTGAAGACGCTTTTCTTCCCAATGAATGCTAAGTACAGACTTTCCATTTCAGCCAGAGATAGGAGAGAAAGAAAAAAACACTTCTTTCTCAGGAAGCAAGGTTAACAGAGAGACAAGATCAGGTAACAAAAATGAAAGGTGTCAGTAGTGCGCTTAGCAGCCTTACTGTAGCTACAAGTCAAGTCAGAGTCTGATGAGCTCGCGAGCTTACAGACCCTCTTTCTCTCTCTGGCCTTCTATTGATCAATTCTTACATGACAATCAAAACCACTCTTGGGCTGAGAGAAGGAAAAAGAGGAAGACTTAGTTTCTACCCCTTCAGATGGAAGCAAGAGCATTACATCTGCTTGGTTCTTTCATTTATCCTTAATTCATTCAACAAATATATGCTCTGCTGCTATATGAACTCAGTGGGAAAGACAAAAGTTGGTGGGTTTTGCCCACTTCCTTCACAAATCAGGGACTACTGACTAGAAGACTTTGTATTTACGACCACACATCACTGCCTAACACTAGAGAAGGTGGACTTAGTTTCTGGTTGTTACAAAAGGAAAACATTAATTCATCACATTTTCCAATGAAAAGTCCATTTTTTGACATATGTATGAAATCCCACAAAATCATGCAAACTACACTATTTCTAATGTTCAGGGTAAAGAGAAAAGTAGCCACAAGTTCCTTATTTCTGTCAATTCTCCATTTCTTAAAATAAAGTATATCAGTTCCTCTCATCAAAAAGCTAAAAACCAAAAAAAAAAAAAAAGCTAAAAACCTTCCGGTGAAATTCAACTGTTGTCACTTATATTGAAAGATATAAAGAGTCTGTCAAGGACCGTCAAACAGTCTCTTTCAGCATTAATTTGTTATGGTGTTACAAAATGCCGTACAGTGAAACAAATGCTAATTTTAAAAACCATGTACTTGATAAAGAGAGATGGTCTTCCTTAAGGGGAAAAACAGCACCCCCAAAATTCCTTACGTTTACTTTTATTAGTTTTTACTTATGAGCAGATCTATTCCAGACTTTCATATACAAGTTCAATTTCCTATCACAAGTTTAACATTTGAAAGTTAACAATTCAAAACAATAGAAGATCTAATAAAGTAAATCAAGGTTTCCTGTTAAACAACACATTCTAAATTTTAAAAATTAGAGAAAAAAAATCTCAAACATACATAAGTACAAAATTGGGAGGATAAAACTATTTCTAAATAGTTGTCTCTAAGCTGTCTCTAAGCTGTTGTCAACTAAATCATACTTGAGACTAAGTGCTGACTCTTTGCGATCCCATGGACTGTAACCCATCAAGGTCCTCTAGCCACAGGATTATCCAGGCAAGAATTCTGGAGTGGGTTGCCAATTCCTCCTCCAATGGATCCTCCCGACACAGGGATTGAACCCACATCTCCTGTGGCTCCTGCATCGGCAGGTGATTCTTTGCCATTGAGCCACCTGGGAAACCCCCAAATCATACTTACCAAAGCATTAATGTCCAACATAGAATGGCATTCTTTAAATTTTGAAATTTCTTGTTCCAATGTGTCTAATAATACAACTTGGTTCTGTCTGAAACAAAAGCATACAGCCAAAATAAACTCTATATACTCTAAGTGATGGTCAGTAAAAGGTATCACATTCATCTTGGTTAATGTTAAAAGTAGATTAAGTTGGAAATTTATTGACTTTCCAATGCTTATTTAGTTTAGCATAATCTTTTTCAAAATAATATTCCAAAGCCACATTCTGATAACTAAATATGTCTTTTATTCTGGCCTCAATTTCAGATTCCAGTAACATCAAACCATTTTTAATTATTTTATTACTTATTTCTAGCAACTTTCTGTACTATCCCTGAAAAAGTTTTTTTATACTATCTTGCCCAAGAAATCTGATGCTTTATATATATTAAAATTGTAACATTACCATAAAGGAAAAGAAGTCATGAATTTTTAGATTAGAGCTGGGAAAAATGCAGTATCAAGGGATAATAACCAGTTGTGTGATCTTGGAAATTTCATTTTTCTGGACCTAAATTCATTTACAAAGTAAGAAGGTCATACCAGGTAATTTCTAAGATTTCTCATTAAAATCTGATTCAAAACTTTCTATTGAGGAAGAGAAACCAACTTCTCTGATATTCTTGTCCAGATCAACCAATGCTAGTATCACAGGAATAAGTGACTCTGGGGAAGGTGGGGGGGTCATTTAATTAAATACTGTGAAGAATAATATAGACAAACAAAAGTACGACATGATGTGCTTGCAAAACTATGTCAAACAGAGAACAATGATGACAAAAAGAAATAGCAATGAAGAGACTGAAGGGCAGTTATAACATCTCATTCAGCACACAAACCCCACAGGTCATAAGTGTCCCTTCAGCTCTGAATGGAGACAACGGAGGGTGAAACACTGAACGGATGAGAGGAGAACTCAGCAAGTCAGGGATCAAGACAAGTAAGACAGCAAAAACACGGTGTTACAACTGGAAAACATAAAAACAAAAAGAAACCAAAAGTAGTTCTTCCAAAAAGACTGATAAAATTGACAACCTTCTAGCTAGACTAACAAAGAAAAAGAGAAAGAAGACACAAATCACTAACATAATTTATGTAAAGGGAGTCATCACTACTTATTCCATAGATGTTAAAAAGGATAATAAAGGAATACTACAGATAGCTTTATGCCCACAAATTTGATAACTCAGAATGGAAATGACTAATTCCTTCAAAGATGCAAACTACCAAAACTCACACAAGGAGAAACAGATAATCTAAGTAGCCCTATACTTAAAATTACCAACTTTCCAGAAATGAAAGAACCAGGAAAGATGACTCCACTGACGGTTTCTACCAAATATTTAAGGAGGAAATTATACCAGTCTTCCACCTTCTCCTTTAGAAATGGAAGCAAAGAGGGCACTTTCCAATTCATTCTATGAGGCCAGCATTATCCTAAAGTCAAAATCAGATAAAGACATTGCAAGAAAGGAAAACTATAGACCATCATCTTTCACAAACATAGATGCAAAAATCCTCAACAAAATATCAACAAATCAAATCCAGCAATGTATAAAAAAGAATTAAATACCACAACAAAGTGGGATTTATTCCAAATACACAAAGCTGGATCAGCATCTGAAAATCAGTCAATGAAACCCACCACATCAACTGGTTAAAGAAGAAAAATCATATGGTCTTATCAGATGCAGAAAAAGCATTTGACAAAGTCCAACACACATTCATGATTAAAAACATTCTCATCAAACTAGGAAGAGAGGAACTGCCTCAACTTGATAAAGAATATCTTAAAAAAAAAAAAAATAGCCACAGCATCTACTAAGAAACTAGATACTTTCCATCTAAAGATCAGGAGCAAAAGGATGTCCACTCTCAGTAATCCTAGGCAACATTGTATTGGAAGTCCTAGTGCAGTAAGACAAGAAAAGGAAATAAAAAGTATACAATTAGAAAGGAAGAAATAAAACTGTCTTTATTCACAGAAAACATGATTGCCTATGTGGAAAATCCCAAAGAATCAACAACAACAAAAGAAAACCAGGAAGGAAAACATGAATACAGCAAGGTTTCAGAATACGAAGTTAATATACAAAAGTCAGCTGCTTTCATACACACCAGCAATGCATAATTAGAATAAAAAATCAATACCACTGACAATAATCCCTGTCAGATAAAATATACTTTGGTATAAATCTAACAAAACACGTACAGGCTCTATATGCAAAAACTTAAATTCTAATGAAAGAAATAAATGAGATCTAAATATGGAAGAGATATTCTAAGTACATGGAATAAAAAACTCAACATGCTAAGATATCAATTCTTCCCAAATTGATCCATAGGGTCAATGCAATCTCAATCTAAATCCCAGCAAGTTATTTTGTAGATGCCAACAAACTAATTCTAAAATTCACATGGAAAGCCAAAGACCCAGACTAGCCAAGACATACAGAAGAAAAATAAAATTGGAAGACTTATATTACTTACATTACTAAATTTCAAATTTCATTACAGAAACTACAAAAATCAAGATAGCATGGTATTACTGAAAGAACAGAAACACTGATCAATGGGACAGTCTAGAAAGCTCTTAACTTGACCCATATATTTCTTTTTTCTTTCTCTGAAGTTTGCTTCAGCTCAATTCAGTTCAGTTCAGTAGCTCAGTTGTGTACAACTCTTTGAGACTCCAAGGACTGCAGCACCACAAGATTCCCTGTCCATCACCAACTCCTGGAGCTTACTCAAACTCATGTCCATCAAGTCGGTGATGCCATCCAACCATCTCATCCTCTGACCAGATGCCATGATCTTAGTTTTCTGAATGCTGAGTTTTAAGCAAGCTTTTTCACTCTCCTCTTTCACTTTCTTCAAGAGGTTCTTTAGTTCTTCGCTTTCTGCCATAAGTGTGGTGTCATCTGCATATCTGAGGTTATTAATATTTCTCCCAGCAATCTTGATTCAGCTTGATTCATCCAGCCCAGCATTTCTCATGATGTACTCTGTATATAAATTAAATAAGCAGGGTGACAATATACAGCCTTGATGTACTCCTTTCCCAATTCAGAATCAGTCTGTTGTTTCATGTCCAGTTCTAACCGTTGCTTCTTGACCTGCATACACATTTCTCAGGAGGCAGGTCAGGTGGTCTGGTATTTCCATCTCTCAGAATTTTCCACAGTTTGTTGTGATCTATACAGTCCAAGGCTTTGGCGTAGTCAATAAAGCAGAAGTAGATGTTTTTCTGGATCGCTCTTGCTTTTTCGATGATCCAGCGGATGTTGGCAATTTGATCTCTGGTTTCTCTGCCTTTTCTATCCAGCTTGAGCATCTGGAAGTTCATGGTTCACATACCATTGAAGCCTGGCTTGGAGAATTTTGAGCATTACTTTGCTAGCGTGTGAGATGAGTGCAATTGTGCAGTAGTTTGAGCATTCTTTGGCATTGCCTTTCTTTGGGATTGGAATGAAAACAGACCTTTTCCCAGTCCTGTGGCCACTGCCGAATTTTCCAAATTTGCTGCCATGTTGATTGCTTATCTTTCCTTAACACTTAAGAAGTTTACTAACTTTATTTATCATATTCAATTGTTATAAATAGTAGCTGAAATTACTATCATCCTCATCATCATTGTCCAGTTACCTAAGAAGATAAATGGGGCTATTCAAACACTAAATTTCAGCCAATCTCCTCACCAATTACACTTTCCATTTACTTGATTCCCAGCTTTTTATACATAAAGTGTTATCTAGATGTGCTTTGCTTGCAGAGTTGCTTACCCTCCTTCAGTCTATCATACATCATCCAAACTCACTCACAAAATCTTTATGACTTTTCTGCCACAAACACTGACTGGTGTTAAAATATAAGACATAACACACACTAGGAATAAAAAAATATCTCACTTGGAACTAGCAGAAAACTAAGAATGTTACAAACTCCCTTAACTGCAGTAGGGTACCACATGTAACAGAACACAGTATCATCTTTGTACTCATTTATCATCTTCAAGCCCAAGGATTGTAACATTAGTTACTAATATTTACAAAATGGACACAGTTGTTGATTACTCCTCTCTTTTTGCCCTGTGAGATCAGTTTTCAAAGAGTAAGCCTTGCAGCAGCAGCTGTTCATAGCGAGTTTAAAGTTGACCACCACAAAAAAAGAAATAATAGGCCAGTGTGGGCAATCCAGAGAGGTCCTAACCCAAGAGGAATTAGAAACTCAGGTTATTTGTTTCTGGGTGGGAACTGATAAAGTCAGAGTGTAATTTCTGCATACTGATCTCATTCCGGGTTCACACTCTGATCACACACTATGGGCTCCATTCTCCCTCATCCTGTTTCTCCCTCAGCTTATTCCCCAATCTTTTCGTTAGCTAGTAGAGCTCCATTCCATTAACTAGGACCGAAATGGGTCATCTCAAAAAAGGGTAATTAGAAATTTCTGGCAGCTCATGTGAACCAACAATAGAAAACAAATGTGACCCTCATGGCGACAATTTTGCAACTCTACTCAGAAATAGGTATAAACCCATTTGCAACATTCCCAAGAGACAGTACTTTCCTAAAATAGTGGTGAGAAACCAAAACTAACCAGCACCTAGATAAGATTTAGGCATACTTCTTAGAAGAGACCAAATACTCTAGCAGCGTTCATCTCACTTTTCACATTTAAATTACAGTATAGCATATGTGTAATTTAATTATTCCATGTCCATTTGCTATCACAAAAGATAAAGAAATACTCTATTGTATTATGTTATAAAACATTATCCCTAATACAGTATATACTTTACTTATACAGTAAATTATGACTATGCCAGAGGAGAGGTGAGGGCGTCAGTGGATTTTATCAGCTCACGTGAGTTCCTGGAGAGCTTGTTTTGATCTCTGCAGATCTGGCAAGTAGTGAGAAAGCAAGCCTTCTGCCAGCTGTTCCACAGCTTTGTCTTCTATGGTCAAGTCCTCTATTAACCCTTCATCTGGAGAAGTGTCACTTAAACCTGTCCCCAAGCAAAAAATCAAATTTAGGAAGCTTTTAAATTGACACAGGGATAAGAGAGTAGCAGGGATGGGGGAAGGAGACTGGCGGTGGAGCTCAGGGTACACACATAGGATACTATAACTACCTTCTTTTTTTTTATTTTTACCTTCTGAGAAGCCTCTAAAAATTAAGCTATGAGCACTCAAAAAGTATTTTTAAGTTACTAGCACAAGGTTATGTTTAGATTAAAAGAACATTAACACATGCAATTTCCATGTTTATGTATTTTTCAGGGTAGAGGATTTAGAGTTTTCAATGAATTATTAAAGGAGTCTGAGGCCTAAAAGGAAGGAATAATCACTGAATGGAAGCAAGAAATTCTTTTCCAAATTATACATATTTTAAAGGCAATGCCTAAAAATATTTTTTTTCAATTCGATGGATTCAAACAGATGAACATTTATTTTGCAGACAGCCTGATATATTAACTGTTAAGTGTTAGTCGCTCAGTCGTGCCTGACTCTGCTTCCCCATGGGCTGCAGCCCACCAGGCTCCTCTGTCCATGAGATTTTCCAGGCAAGGATACTGCAGTGGGTTGCCATTTCCTTCTCCAGGGGATCTTCCCAACCCAGGGATCGAACCAGGGTCTCCTGCACTGCAGGCAGATTCTTTACCGACTGAACTACAAGGGAAGAGCCTGATATATTACTTACATGTAAAAGGACAGTTGTTTTGTCAGCTGTCAGAGAGCAGGAGAGAGATTTTCTAAGAATTTCTCCTTTCTTGAGATTCAGTACCTTAATTTATCATAGAAAATAGTGTATAGTAATCAGCGCTGTGTAAATATAGACATGATGCCAGGAAATATTTTATTCATATTCTTCCTTTTAATAATAACAGTGTAAGCACTGTGCTAGGCATTCAAAAATGTCTAAATGAATACCCATCAATCACTACTCGTACCAAGAAAAATACAAAACATTTTCTAAATAGGGTTCAATGAATTCTAAGACTTTAGAATCACTGGTCTAGAATGAAAAAAAAAAGTGTATGGTCACATTATTAAAACTGTAGTCCACAGCATTTTAAAACTAGTATTAAACTCTGAAATACCTCTCTTTAATCATGATCTGGCAATAATCTGTAATATCAAATTAGGTCATTATACAGAATATGTTTACCATAATACACTGTCTATAGCTCTTTTCCAAGTATAGTTTTTACCACAGATTTAAATTTTGGCAAGACTGAGAAAAACAACATGCTGTCATACATTCAAAATTAGCTTTTAGAGATCAAAATAAAATAGCGTGGTTTTTATTTGGATCCTGAGAAACACATGAACGAACTGGTTCCCCTAGGTTGCAAGGCAATATTAAAACAAGAGCTAGCTAGAAACTGAAGCACTCCACAAACGAAATTAAAATGTAATGGGAAAAGTAAAGTATGTACAGATATTGCCATTGTTGTACCATCAGATGGGAACCTAATAAAATATATCTGATAATTCACGCCACTGCTAAAGGCTTCTTTACAAAATTGTGCAAACAGCAGTAACTCTCCTTAAAAAAATATAGAAAACAGGAGAAGGAAATGGCAACCCACTCCACTATTCTTGCCTGGAAAAGTCCATGGACAGAGGAGCCTGGCGGGCTGCAGTCCATGGGGTTACATGACTGAGCATGTGTGCATGAGGGTGGAGGGAGATGGGGGTGGTAGCAATAAAGTGGGAGAACTAAAAAAATATATATATACACACACACACACGTGTGTGTGTGTGTGTGTATAGAAAACGAAAGTATCACAGATAAGCAGAAACAAATAAAAATACTTCAACCGTAAGGAAAAACAACCAATACACCTTCCTTATGCTATATAAACATTTTAATTCACACACTACCCTGCCCCCCAACCCAGACTTCTGGTTAGTATTTGGAAGAGTCTAAGTTACTTGCCTTTTTACACACATTTATTCCCTAAGTTCAAGGTACTTTATTGTCGGAGACAAGAAACTTTTGCTGCACATATACTGTATGCACTAGTTTTTGAGGTTACAATAAATTAGGCAAGTCCCCTTCCCTGAAAGGGCTCAGTACAGCGGAATCAGAGAATGTGAGAGGTGCCCTTGGATGAGAGAAAGATTACTTTCATCAGGGATATTGGGCAACAATTCTAAAGGAAGTGTGGGCATTTGAGCTGAAACTTGAAGAATGGGATAGAATTTTCATTTCTTTCTTTTTTCTTTTTAAATGTTACTCATTGTAAAAAACTTAAAATACAATAGAAGAGGGCATAACCTGAAAAGTAAAAACATGCCTTCTCGCTCTCTTACTCCAGACAGAGTCACACTGGAATTTTCTTAAATAGCCGTCAAGAAATTGTCTCTGCAAACTCATGCTTAAACCCTGTTTTTATCACAAATGAAATACTGCTTATACCGTAACTTTTCTCATAAATATGCATCTCAGGTATCATCTGTATCAACATATATGAATTTACTCCATTGTTTTTAACATAATACAACTCTACCATGTTTTGTTCAACCAGTTCCCTGCTGTTATGGACTGAATGTTTGTGTCCTCCCCCAAAATGTATACACTGACGTCCTAACCTCCAATGTAAAGGCACTTGGAGGTGGGAGTCTTTGGGAAATAATTAAGTTTAGATGGGGTATGAGTGTAGAGCCCCTATAATGGGATTACTGGCCTTAAAATAAGAGGGAGAGAGACCAGGACTCTCTCCTTCCACCCTGTGAGGGCACAGTGGAAGGCAGCCATCTGCAAGATATGAAGAGGGTCCTCACCAGGAACATATTTTGCTCACACCTACACCTTGGACTTCACAGCCTCCAGAACTTCAAGGAATAAATGTCTGTTGTTTAACAAGACATTGGAAAACTACCTTCCTAAGAGAGGGCACTAATTTACACTTCCACCAACAACCTACAAAGGGCTATCTCCAAATGGGGAAGAATTCTAAGACTGGAGAAAAAGGGATGCAACATGAGTCAAGGAAGAAGCATAGGATTGCTCTGGAAAGAGAGGTTCGTTTGGGGTGTCTGGAGCATGAGACATACTCAGTAGTGAGCTCTAAGGCTATGCGGCCGGCAATGACGACCCCTGAGTGCCAAGCTAATGTGTTTGGCCCTTAATTTAGTAAGAAGCCATTTATGGTTTCCAAGCAAGTAAATGACATGATGGGACCTATATCTTGGGGCAGTGATGTGACAGTGTGATAGATGGGATAGAAGAATAAGAGACTGGAGGTGGACTAGCCTTACAACTGTGATTGTTAAAGGGTCAAAATACAAAGGGGAGAAGGAACTTGTAGGGTAGAAGCCCCTGGAATAGACAGGGGTGGGAGGAAAGAGTTAAGAATAATGTCAGAGTTTCAAGAGATCATGACTTGGCACCATTAATAGGATCAGACATCTACTTTTATTTAAGTACATACTGTAGGGTAAGATTAGTGCAAAATGACCATGTTAAAGTATCCAGAAAGCAGACGTAGGAGCAAGCAGCAGAGAGACCCAATCTGCATTTACATACAAGGAAGTCATATTTACAGAAGCAACTTCTAAAGGTGTGAAGAGGGAGATCACTGAGGAAAAGCATGACCAAGAAAGACCTGAGCACTATTTCGGGGTAAGTTCTATATTTCTGGAACAGGAAGTACAAGTAAAGGCACGTCCAAAGTCCTGCAGCCTTTCTTATCTAGGGTTCCTCATCTGAACCACAGACCACAGAAACTGTTTCTCAGTTCTCCCAAGGATGGTACATACACATACATAGTACCATTATGGATGCAGAACAAGTCGATTCATTACATTCAATAGATGCCTTAGGCCATTCAGGTTTAAATCTTTCCTTGAATTCGGGTTGAGAAAAACTGCTGGAGAAACGGGGATGCAATAAGGTCAACAAGCAAGACAAGCATTTCATGAGTGGTCAGTAATACCGGATACCTCAGCTCTCTGAATAACAAACCAATCATCCGGGCAAATCCATCTTCAACTACTAACTTGTAACAAATAGCCAACAGTGTGCTGGAGTCAATAAGCAAATTCAGAATGGCTTCACTTTCAAACCTCACCAACAGCACCCCAAACGCCATTTTTTCCCACCCCACCTCCACCCGCAAGATCTCGTTTCCCGTCCCCTCCTCTGGGTGGAAGGCCGGCAGGGCAAGGTTCCCTCATTCCGCGCCGCGGCCAGAGTCTCGGGTCAGCAGCTGCTGAAAGCAACTTACTCCCGCTGGGCAGCACGGAGACCCACCCACTTGGGTCAGACCGCCCGCCCCGCCCAATAGCACATACCCGGCGTCAGGTCCCCGGCCTCCAGGCCTTCGGGTGGCCCTGCCAGGACCCCGTCCGGGGAAGGCGGCCCAGGGACACTCATGTCCCTCCCGCTGGGAACAGGGAAGGGGCAGTTGCACAGACTGCCAGACGCAGTGAGGAAGCACCGAATGCGTCCAGAGCCCACCCGGACAGAAGCGACGGTCGCACCCGGAAGTGACGAAAGCGGAAGATGGCAGGCTCGGGGCACGTGACCGCGGGCCTTCCCCACACCCTTTTATCCGCCCCCACCCCCGGCGCTTCTAGGAGTTCGAGCTGAAGTGCTAATGGGGTGGGGACTGGGAGTCACATGAGTCTGCAGCCTACGGACTCGAGTCCCCGACTCTGGTGGTCGGGGGGCGGGATGAAAGAGGCGGTGTCTGGAAGGGGCTTGGTTGGTCTCCAAGACCAGTGAGCTGTATGTTGAGCCTGGGCCAGCAGTCGGACTTTGATCAGTAGGCCAGTCGCAGCTTCTCAGTTTTGTCTCCTTATTAAGGAAATATCTTAAGGACTGCAATTTGAACGCATTAAAAATTCACGTTTAGCTCTCTTCAGCCTTGCTAACTACGAGTTTGTCAAGATTCATCTCTCCTCTTGTTGATTGTAGGTGAACGATGTAAGACCTGGCTTGCAGCATCTATTAATATCTACTGAACAAATTCAGCCAAATTACCATAAACCGCACTTACTGAGATCCTATGGGATGATGTCATGAATTTTTATGAAAAACAGGCAAAAGCTGCCTCAGACCAATAAAATGATTACCTCCTTACTTTAGACCCTCTCACTTAAACTGTCATAGTGGCCTGCTAGTGTTGCACCCCCAAATCGCCTGACCAAACGATTTTCTATTCAACAGGCAAATCTGTTCTCAAAAAAAAATGAGAATTTATGTCAAGCCTCAGAAACTTGCTCCCCGTTTACCTTATCAGTGCATTCACACTACTTCCTCTTTTGGCCTTCTCTCCTCTCGGGATTAGTTGCTCCTTACTACCTGTGGTAAGCAGAACATGCCCTCACCAAAGATGTCCACAGATTTCATCCCCAGAACCTCTGAATATGTTGTTTCACTACAAAAGAGTAATTAAGGTTGCTAGTCCCAGAGACTGTAAAATGGATTACCCGAGGTTATTGAGTGGATCTGAGGTATCACAGGGGCCTTCAATCCTGGAAAAGGGAGGCGGAAGAAGAAAGTTAGAAAGGAGATGTGACTATGAAGAATGACTAGAGAGATGCAACGTTGGCTTCGAAAGTAAAGGATGAGGGTTACTGACCAAAATTGCGGTGACCTCTAGAAGCTGGAAAATACAAGGAAGCGGATTCACCACTAGAGCCTCTAGAATGGAACTCAGCCATGTCTCAGTTTTACCCCAGTGAGATCTGTATTGGACTGCTCACCTACAGAACTCTAAGATAATACATAAATTTGTATTGCCTTAAGTTTGTGGTTATTTGTTAATAATAACATTTGGAAAGTAATAGGAATAATAAAGTAATGCATTGTCTTTCAAACGTCCTTTGTTTCATCTGAGCATACTCACCAAAACTATGCCCTTTCATGATTGGAATATTTTATTATTTTCAAAGTCTTACTCATCTTTCAAGGCTTGGCCAAAACAATAAACTACTATAAAATCATTCACAATTCCTCCTCGGCTTTCAGCTTGCTTTCAGGAATTACACTAATAACCTTTTCCTAACTACGAAGCATCCTCCTGCAATTTAGCACTTAATCCATTCTTGTATTAGTTGCTTCTGTTGACTTCCTGTATCACATTGCAAACTCCAAACAGAAACTTATTCACAGAGCACCAAATAGGTTCTAAATGAATATTTACTGAATGAAGTATTGATTCTCCAGCCCCAGATTCCAAGTATCTATAATCTCCAAAGTCTGAATTACATGAATGGCACTTCATAAATCCTGGTAACCTTAGCTGATTGTCAGTATTATCTCCTAACCAGATACTAAAACCTTTTGGAATAGACCCTTGTTCAAAGAGTTATCTGTAAATTCTCTATCTCTTAGCACAGTATTAAGCATATTACTTGGGTTTTTAAATACTGGATATTTATGTTTAATAGATGAAAATAATTAAACATTAAAATGTTTTTTATAAAGAACATTTAAAAGAATTAATGTTCTTTTAAAGCATTTTAACTTTACTTAGTGTGACAAAAATGACAAGGAGGACTTTCTGCCAGACCCACGTTGCTTTTCTCTTTCTCCTTTTTCTTCTCTATCCCCACAGGTTTCAACTCAATGCATGTAGTTCTTGTTGAGGACACTCTGTGTTCCAGCCTCCATTAATCAAATACTGTGCACTTAGTACTGCATGTAACACAGCTTAAAACAAAAAGGTTGGAATTTGATACCACGGAAGTAAACAGTTCATTGAGTTATATACATCTTTTGAAGTACCTTTAATTTCCCCAGTGGCAGTGGCCATTCTCTTTTATGCACCAAAGTTATAATCCATTTAAAATAACTGAGTACCTGAGATTGAACTAGGCACTATAGCGTGTTATTTTAAAAAAAAAAAGGCAAAAATTCTTGTTGCTGTCTACCAGGAATTTATATTCTAGCATTTACATAGTAGAATTAGAAAGCATGATGGGAAAGTACTAAATTATGTGGACAGACCTAGAAGAATATAAAATACATCATGATGTCATATTGGTTTCCTATTGCTGTTGTAACAAATGAACACAGATTTGGTAGCTTAACTCAACACAAATTTATTACCTTACAATTCTGGAGGTCAAATGTCCAAAATAAGCCTTTGTGGGCTAGAAATCAAGGTTTTGGCAGGGCTACTTACTTCTGGAGGCTCTGAGAAAGAATCCTCTCTCTTACCTTTTTTAGTTTTTGGAGGGCTTGGCTCATGACCCCACCTCACACTGCCTTCTCTCCCTCCACTGCCATTGTTGCATCGTCTCCTCCTCTATTCTGATCCTCTGGTCCTCATAAGGACCCATAAGGACTTATGATCACATTGAACTTGCCTGCATAACTCAGGATAGTCTCTCCATCTCATCATGGTTCTTTTTAAACACATCAGCAAAGTTCCTGTTGCCATGTAAGGTAATATTCACAGATTCTGGGGAATTGAAAGTGAACATATTTGTGGGGGAGGGGAAGGCATTATTCAGCCAGCCACAGGTGTGCAGTTGTGTAGCACATGAATGGGAGATAACTAGAGAAAATTTAAAAATTTAATAGAGGAAATTAAGATATATCTTGAAGGACAGGTCAATGTAATATGCAGAGCAAATATTACTTAGACCTTCTAACAGGAAAAACAAAAACACCGTAAGTAATAAGAATATACTTAAGACTCAAAGACCTCAAGATGCTGACTTTTGGGGAAAACAAGAATAACATAGATTAAATGGTTAGTAAAAGAACCTAATGGAGAAAGGTGTTGTATAATCCTTTATATCAAAAGAACTTACAAAGACAAAAAATAAGACAAAATGTGGTCATATTGCTCTGGAGAAGTTAGTCCAAAGAAATGACATCCAGAAAGAGCTAAATGCTGTATGTATTCATAGCAAAAGGAAAAGAAATCCATTGGATTTCAAGAAACTTGAATTCCAAAAGAGGGAAAGCAAACCTATTGCAATAAATACACAAAATCTTTTTTCTATTTTTCAGTTTTGCCATTTTCCTTAAATTTTCCTACATCATTTTTGCTAACGTAAGGGGAGTAGCTAGGTAACAGAGTCAAGTAAAAAATGTTAATAACATGAATATTTTCTATTCCTTTTATTGATCAGGGTGTCCTATATTTAGGATATGCTGATTTGATTTTTTTTTAACTGTCCTAATTTGACCTAATTCTCTCACAGGATTTGCTTGTCCCTTCCCTTCATCTCTCTCCATTCTTTTCTAAAAATGAAGGAAATAATGGAGGTGGGAGGACAAAAAGATTCAAGTGAGAAAAATGCAGGACCAGGGGCTGCAGAAGAAAAGGGATGAAAAGGAAGATATATAGGAGAAAGGTGTTACAGCGCATGACCTTTCCTTCTAGTGGATTAAAGTGCTGAAAATTTGAAAACATTCATATAGGGTGCTGTGCTTGCAAAATAATAAAAAGGAAAGAAGGGAATTGGAGGTAGAAAATCAGAGAAGCTGGGACATTACAGCAAAACAGTTTACCGTTTTGTCTATGGTGACCCAACCTAAAGAGGTATCTTAAGCAGTTTGAACCACTCTTCTTATATTTACATGAGAAATATTCTTTCACATCTGCAAAGTACTAAAATTCTCCCACCCATGGTAACTCTGCTACATTTCCATCACTCCTTTCTTGCCTTATCCAAAAAACATACTCTTCCATGGATTATTTCACCAACCCATTCTTCTAACCTTGCCGCCAGAAAGTTTGTAAAATATATGCAGAGGTCAAAAGCAATGGCTTCTGATATTTTAAAATAGACTCACAAAAATTTTTTGTTTAATTTTTGGCTTCACTGGGCCTTCATTGCTGCTCAGAGGCTTTCTCTGGTTGTAACGAGCAGGAGCTGCTCTGTAGTTTCGGTGCGAAGGCTTTTCATTGCGGTGACTTCTCTTGCCATGGCTCACGACTTGCAGCACGGAGCAGTTGTGACACATGGGCTTAGATGCCCTGTGGCATGCGGAATCTTCCCAGACCAGGGATCAAACCTGTGTTTCCTGCAATGATAGATCGACTCTTAAAGAACCACCAGTCCAAAATAGATTTTTTTGTAAACAGAAGTTTTAGGTTCACAGTAAAATTAAGAGGAAGGTACAGATAACTTCTACTCCTTCACATACATTATCAACATCCCTCACTAGAGTGCTGCACTCATTATGACTGATGAATGTACATTAATATATCATTATCATACATGTACATGGATGGCTGAGTCCCTTCACTGATCACCTGAAACTATCACAACATTGTTAATAGGCTACACCCCAGTGCAAAATCAGAGAAGGAAATGGCAACCCACTCCAGTACCCTTGCCAGTGCAAATTCCACTTTTCACTTTCATGCACTGGAGAAGGAAATGGCAACCTACTCCAGTATTCTTGCCTGTAGAATCCCAGGGACAAAGGAGCCTGGTGGGCTGCCATCTATGGGGTCGCACAGAGTCAGACACGACTGAAGCGACTTAGCAGCAGCAGCAGTGCAAA